CCAGGAGAGATAAATGGGAGGGGGAAGAGAATGTGGATTTAATGAGAGATGAATTGGAGGAGAGAGAGAGAGTGAATATTAATGAAGAGAAAGAAATTGGAGTAGAGAGAGTATACATTTTAATTGTTATATATTTTAATTGTTAGAGAGAGTATCCCACAGCTGTCACCTAAAAAAGCTCGCATGGGTGTAGCTCAACTGGTTCCGGAGGTGGTAAGTTGGAGCAAGGTCATAGGATCGAATCCTGGCAGCCGCAGTGTGGGAATTTCAACTCCAATGAGATTGGTTCCTTGTGGGCACCAGGTCCGGGTCCGCTACCTTAACGGGCCGTTGAGTTACCATGATTTACATTCCTCCATCAATCCTTGTCGGGCCAAGGGATGGGGGCCCTGGGGGCGAGGGATTTCGCCTATTGGAGCAATTGTTATAGATGAATAGAAGGAGAGAGAAATGAGTTGAATGAATAAAATATATAGGTTAGTAGGTATTAGTAGGTTTGAAAGTTGGAACGAATAGTGTATTTTCATTGAAATTTTTGATAGGAAAAATTGTGTGTTTTTAAGTAAAATTCATCAAACAAATATGATCTCAGTTTTATGAATAGTATAAAAGTTGGAAATGGTTTTGGAACATAAACAAACATGCCCCATAAACAACTCTTGCAGAAATAGTATGAAGTTAGTGAGATGTTGACGAGAAGTCACGTGAAGGCGAAGAAGATTTTAAATCATTTTCAACGTGAAGATCCAAATATTACCACTTCGTTGAAACTCATTTAGAATACAAAAGTCAAAATTAAAATTAAATCAATGGGTGGAAAGACAATTATTTAACTTTTGATGCAGTGCATTGATGAGAGCAAGTATATACAACGGCACTACGCATATTCAAGAATAAATGAGGTTATTAACTTGGTGTTTAATCTGTTGATCCTCGGATTCCCGATACTGAAGTTGTTCCTATATGTCCTACTCATGGATTCTAGATATAAGACCAATAGTTAATTATTCGTTTATAGTTGATGCAATTTAATTTGGAATTTTTTAAAATTTTATTGAATATTTATATAACTATTTTGTAACATGTACAAGATGTCATTATTGGAGATTGTTGTTGTGAATCCAGTTGAAAAAAATTATATTTGCAATTGCATTTATGCATCATGAAAATGAAAAACACTATAATTGGGTACTGAGTCAAAATCAATTTTTTTTTGTTTTCGAGAACCGGGAGTAATTGTGACAGATAGGGAGTAAGACCTTATTAAAGCGATATAGCATATTTATACACATTCATACCATTTATTGTGCATTTTCCATATCAATAGGAATGTGGGGCTACATGCTACAAGGCATATGGGTAACACAAGATCTTGGCGTTGCATTCGCCAAGGACCGTGGAAAAAACTTGTCATGTCATCATTATCTGAGGAGAAGTTTATTACAAACTTTGCGGAGATGTTTACGGAATACGAATCCCACCACGATCTAATGGAGTATTTTCAAGAAACATGGCTCATTTAATAAGAAAGATTTGTATATGCTTGGACGAATAAAATTTTCCACTTAGGCAATACGCAGACAAATAGGTAAGTTTGAGTTTCCTCCTTTTTGAATAATTTATATTCATATTTGTCTATGTTTTGAATTATTTTGTATTTTTATGAAAGATTCTTTCATAGTTGAGAGTGCGCATCAGCTCTAAAGGACTTGATCGATTCAACGACCAATAGTTTTGACATAATTTGGACGGAACATGTGTCGAATATGGATTACCAGATTAACGAGATAAATTCAGAATTTTAAAAGTCGAAGAGGATTAGACCGAACATTTCCTCAAATCCATTTTTTTAAAATTTGGAATATGCAGTAGTGTCACACAAGGCACTTTGAAAGTTGGATGAAGAATGTCAAAGGAATGAAAGTATGCATACCTATTTTAAAAAAAACACCCACGACCTTTCATGTTCACATGAGATTGTAGTCAAGGTTAGTAGCGGTGAGACGATTCATTTTGAGGAAGTTCATGTTACCTGGAGGACTTTGTCGTTTGATATCTGAAAGAATTTATGGTCCCGAATTCGTTTAATACAGAGATGTTATCTTAAGTGTTATGACACTTAAAAAAACATGCAGCGGACAAATAACTATATAAAAACAATACTCAGATATTAAAATGTTCACAAGTAAGAACTTGTGAACTTGCCCTTTACAGGACGGAAAAATTATATTAAACAAACAGTATTCCAAGAATACAAATGGAAGATGTACGAAAACTTCTTCCTTATGAATGAATCATTCTCATGATCATTCTTACATTCAAATCTAGAAACAAAAAGAGAAATATTAAAAATTCTAGATTTCAAATAATGTACTCATAAGGAGTACATACAATAGATCCTAGAAACACACTAAAACTCTCGTAAATAAACTTCAGCACTCGGTTTCTTTTGTTTCTTCGAATCTATATTTCTTGTGTCTCGAGTTTGGTATTTATAGACTTTCCAAGCTTCCACTACTCAGCCCATGATCTGCAAGTAAACCAACCACAAGAGCACTCAAGATAATGAGTTAGTGGGTTAGTTATTAAGTTAGAAACATATCCATAATTAAACCCACTGAGCACTACTTAGCCCACTAAGTCATAGCACTTAGTCCACTATTACATAACTAAAATTTAGTTTGAAAGTAAGAAAGTTAAAAACACTTATGTGGAAAAATCCACGTGTTTCAAACTCCCCCTTTTTAACTTTCTGATCAAAACTAAATTTTAGCTAAATCTCCCCCTGAGACATTGCTTGAACTCCCCCTGAATTTGATAATAAACAAAATATAGAAGGAATCAATTCAAAACAAATTCAGCAAAATAGTTCCACACAATTTAAACGAAAAGAGAAACAACCAAAGTGTAGTCCTAAAGGTTCAGAGGGAAAAATAAAGATAGAACAAAATCAAACAAAATCAACTATTGTTCATAAAAATAATTAGAGTAGAATATTCAAAGTCTCCTCAGTATCAGCTGCTGCTCCTCCATCATCTGCACTGGATCCACTGCTTTCCTCTGCTCCTTGAGCTTCACCTTCATTCTTTGCTCCTTGCTCTCTGCCTCTGGCATCCAAAGGATGAGAAGTCCCTGCTTCAACTTCATGAGCTTCAACTTCATGACTAGCTTTTTCTCCCCCTTTCTATCAGAAAGAGCTTTTCGAAGCATTTCCACCATGGACTGGTGATAAGTGATCTGAGCTAGAGAGTGAGTAAGCTGTTGTAACAAGAGATCTCTAGGGACAAAAACAAGAATGTTAGGGATGTTGTCAACATGAGGAGCAACACCTTCAGTACCAAGATATTTTGACCTGATTCAGCTGAGAGGAAATTATCTCCATTCCATGGAAGATCTTGGACATGAGGAGCTTTTAGAAAATTTTGAGAAACAGTGATCATGCCAAGTGGAGTATGAAGATATTCTGATTCATCTTGACCCAAATTTTGAGAAAGAAAAATGGAGTAGATGAGAGAAGGATAAGGAAGATGAGTGGAGGATGAAATTTTCTGGGCAAGCTGACCTATATTGTTAAAGAAAAGCTTTCCAAAATCAACTGGTAATCCCATCCCCAATTTGTACATGAGTACTGCATGAGGTTTAGTGACCACAGAGATATTTTTGGATGGAATCCAATTCATCACTGTGAGTCTGAACAAGAAAGAATAAAATGCAGTGAGTTGAGAAACTTTGAATTTTCTGGGGTGAGCAGGCCAAGATTTTAGGCAATTGCCAGAAAGAGTCTTACAGACCTCAGTAAAATCACCATAATTATCCTCATCAATCACAGTAGGAGTTTGTAAATGAGAGTTGATAATTTTGGGAGAAAATGAGAAAATGGAATTTCGTACAAAAACTTTGCCAAAGTTTGGAGAATTTTTCTTTAAAAATGACGTTTGCAGATTGGCATAAAATTCCTTAACAACAGAGGGATCATAAGGACAGGCAACCTCAACTAGACTAAGGATTTTTCTTTGATCAAGAAAAGCAGTGATCCTATGTCTATCAAACTCATCTTTGGAAATCTTCTTTTCCTCAATGAATTGGCAATTCATGATTTGAGGACTCACATTTGAATCAGATTCAAAATAAAAAGTAGGACTGAAGGCATTGTTTACCTCAAAAGGAGTTGACAGATCCTTTCCATCCAAGTCTGGCTCTTCTTCCTAAGAGGATTCCTCTTCTTCAGAGTCTTCAAATTCATCTGGGATGTATGCTGGCTCAGGTGATGCAACACGTGGGGCAGCATCTTCCTGCATCTGAGAGGATTCCTCAGACGAGTCACTGTCTGACTCTGAGGATGGCAAATTTTTGCGAAAGGTAGCAAGGGGAACTTCCCAGCTGTCATCACTTTTCTCTGGTTCATCAGCCTGAGGAGGTGATGTATCTACTTGGACAACTAATTCTGCAAGAGTTTCCAGAGGGTCTGCATGTGGTGCTGAGGGTGTTTCTTCAGTGGTAGTGAAATCCTGAGCATCAACAGAGGGAATGTCAACATGCTCGGCAGAGGACATCCCTGAAAAATCAGGCATTTCTTCATCCTGGTAGGGAGCAGCATCCTCAGCAGCACTTTGAGAAACATTGGCTGAGGCAGTGGGTGCAGCAGCATCTTCTGGAACATGTGCAGCAACATCTTCTGGTTGAGAAGCTGCTGCTGCCATATTAGGCTGAGATGTCTCCCCCTGAGTTGATGCTGGTGGAGGTGAGTCGTTTGACGAAGACTCAGTGGAGCTTGAGGAGAGAGCTTGGGCTTCTGGTTCTGCAAAGGTAGAATCTCCTTCTTCATCATCTGTGTCCTCATCAACCAAATGAAGACCTCTTGGTGGGTTTGGCCTAACTGTGGTACGGCCACCTCTGTTGCCCCTTCTTCCTCCTCTGCCTCCTCTTATGGGAGAGTTTCCACCCCTCCGGCGTTGTGACCCAGCAGTATTCAGATCTGGGAAGGGATTCATGCGTTTGGAACGACGAGTTGGAAACTTTCCTGCAGTGGAAGAGGGACCCACGAACTCGAAGTTGTCTGGGTCAATCGGATTCAGCTCGTCTCCGGGCTCAATGTAACTGATCGGCATTGCTTCAAGATTGACAGGATGAACGATGATGGCCAGATTCGGGTCTGCTGGTTCAGGTGCTGCAGCATCGTTGTGGACATCATCTTCGGCTGGAAGGGGATTTCTAGGTGGAGATGCCATGATACAGTAGAAAAAAAATTGCTTCTTGTGCTTTTGATTTGAGAGTGTGAATTTTTGAAAGATTAAGCACAAAATTTATAAGCCCTAATTTTTGCTGAGAAAAATTGAAGTGGAGAAGGTGAAGAAGTGGTGTGCGTTTTTCTTGGAGAAAGTGTGATTAAGGAGAATAAAGGTTTATTTGGCAGTTTAAAGCAAAACGTGACACATGGCACAATAAGGAGTGGACTTAGTGGAAAATAAAAGACTAACCCATGTACCCCATGACCCATATAAATAGTGATAATTCAATAAGAAATAATAGTAATAAGAATAATAGCAGTAGTACACACGAAATATTCACAAAAATAACAAAAACACATCTATTAATGATTAATAGTATGAGAAAAAGTTGGCTAACAGGCATAGATTTTATTATAAATTTTTTTTTTGTCTTTTTTTTTTGTTGAACTCTTATTTTCAAGTCAAACAATTCACATGGAACATGATCAAGTGTTCAGTTTGAAGGTTCCTCAGTTACTAAGATATGACTATCAAAATAGAGGAGTTTGACTTATGTGATTATAAATGTTCTCTGAAATGTTTACATGAAGCATGATCACGTTTCAAGGTGAAAGACTTCCAGTTAATTATTTAGAGAATAATTCATCATAGTGAAGTCATTATTTAAAGAAGCTAAGCTTCAGTGAATTATGTTGCAGCTTAAGATATTGAATGAGATGCTGCAACATATTTCACGACATGTTTATTGAGTACACATCCCGAGAGATTTTCTAAGTTTAGAAAACCTCTCATAATCTAATGCCTTTGTAAAGATGTCAACCAGCCGATCTTCTGTAGGAATGTACTTTAAGCACACTATATTTTTCTCAACTATATCACGAATAAAGTGATGTTTAATATCTATGTGTTTAGTTCGTGAGTGTTGAACAGGATTTTTTGAAATATCAATAGCACTTGAATTATCTCAATATATGGTCAGGGTGTCACTGGTTAACCCATAATCCCCCAACATTTGTTTCATCCAAATTAGTTGACCACAACATCCTCCAGCAGCTACATATTCTGATTCAGCTGTTGAAAGTGATACACAATTTTGTTTTCTACTAAACCAAGAAACCAAATTATTCCCCAAAAAGAAACATGCACCTGATGTGCTTTTTCTGTCACTAATATCCCCAGCCCAGTCAGAATCACTAAAACCTATCAAATCTGTATTAGTGTCTTTGAAAAATTGAATCCCTAAGACTACTGTACCTGCAACATACCTAATAATCCTCTTCACAGCTTTAAGATGAGTGACTTTGGGGTTAGCTTGATACCTGGCACACACACAAACACTAAACATAATGTCAGGCCTGCTTGCTGTTAGATACAGAAGGCTTCCAATCATGCTTCTGTAAAGGGTGTTGTCAACATCTTCAGCAACATCATCCTTGGACAATTTTTGACTTGAACCCATTGGAGTTTTCATGTGCTTGGCTGACTCCAACTCAAATCTTTTGACCAGATTGAGAGCATACTTCTTTTGATTTACAAAAATTCCTTCACCTGTCTGTTTGATTTGGAGTCCTAGGAAGTAATTCAACTCTCCTACCATGCTCATTTCAAAAGTGTGAGACATAGAATCTACAAAAGACTGTAAGAGGTTAGCACAGGTAGAACCAAACACAATATCATCAACATATATTTGTACAATAATGATATGGTTATTTGTTCTTCTAACAAATAGAGTTATGTCTGCCTCTCCTCTGTTAAACTGTATTTCAAGTAAGAAGTCTGTGAGTCTTTGATACCAAGCTCTAGGAGCTTGTTTAAGACCATACAGAGCCTTCTTAAGCTTGAAACATGATTAGGCTTGGCAGAATCTTCAAAGCCCTTGGGCTGCTCTACATATGCTTCTTCATTTAGAACACCATTCAAAAATGCACTTTTGATGTCCATTTGATACAATTTGATTTTAAGAAAACATGCTATAGCAAGAAGTAATCTAATAGATTCAATTCTAGCTACTGGAGCAAAAGTTTCATCAAAGTCTATACCCTCAATTTGAGTATAACCTTGTGCTACTAACCTAGCCTTATTTCTAACCACTGTACCTTTTTCATCAGTTTTGTTTTTGAAAATCCACTTAGTTCCTATCACATTTACATAGCTTGGTCTGGGAACTAAGTACCAAACATCATTTCTGATGAACTGATTCAGTTCTTCATGCATTGCATTGATCCATAATTAATCCTTCAGAGCTTCTGCAATATTCCTTGGTTCAACTGAAGACACAAAGCATGTAGTTCCAGTTAGTGCACATTCAGATGATAGATTTGCAAATCTTACCATATCTCTGTAATTCACTCTCTCTTTTCTTCTGGTTTTTATCCCATCAAAGATATCTCCCACAACTTGAGTAGAGGGGTGATTTTTCTGGATTCTACTTGATGGTTCTTTTCTGCAGACATCATAAGTTGGCTGCAAATCAGCTTTTGTGCTCTCTGTTGGATGTATTGAGTCAGATGTGGTAACACTTGGCTCAACACTTTCTTTTCTTGAGACTGGACTGTTTATATCTGGAGCATCTGTGGCAGTAGTGTCTCCTCCTGTTGTTTCTCCTTCACCAATCAAGTCATCAACTTCATCTTCAGCTGTTTTACTGCGTAGATCAGCAAAGTCATCAAATACCACATTTACAGATTCAATAATGGTTCGAGTTCTTAAGTTGTATACTCTATAAGCATGACTGTTATTAGAGTATCCCATAAACAAACTCAAATCACTTTTTGAATCAAATTTAGCAAGATGATCTCTATCATTTAGGACATAGCAAACGGATCCAAAAACATGCATGTATTCTAGATTAGGTTTCTTACCATAAAGAATTTCATATGAAGTCATCATAGACCCTAATCTTAGATACACACGATTTGAGATGTGACATGCTGTGTTGACAGCCTCAGCCCGAAACCTTTTAGACAATTTTTTTGCACTCATCATCACCCTAGCCATCTCCTGGATAGTTCTGTTTTTTCTTTCAGCAATACCATTTTGCTGAGGAGTTTTTGGAGCAGAAAATTCATGCTTTATACCCTTTTTATTACAAAAAGCAATAAATAAAGCATTCTCAAATTCTTTTCCATGATCAGATCTTATTCTACGAATAGATACTTGAAATTGAGTTCTAACAAACCTGTACAAATTTCTGAAAACTTCAAAAGTATCAGACTTTTTTCTTAAAAAATACACCCAAGTATACCTTGAAAAGTCATCAACACACACAAAAATATATTTTTTACCACCTAGACTTTCTACCTCTATAGGACCCATAAGATCCATATGTACAAGTTCGAAACAAATGGTGGTACCAACGTGTTGCAACACTTTGTGTGGCACTCTAGTTTGCTTTCCCTTCTGGCACATTCCACATATAGGAATGTCTTTGATCTTGAGATATGGAATTCCTCTTATGGCATTGTACTTGTTGAGCAGCTTCAGATTTTTGAAGTTTGTATGACCTAGTTTCTGGTGCCACAACTCTACTTCACTTACTCTTGAGCTCTTGCATGAGATGGTATCACCTGTTTGGTAACAATTATCCATTGACCTGGAACCTGTCAGTACACAATGATTTTGATTATCAAACACAGAACAACAGTATTTATCAAATTGAAAACGTAGATCATCATCACACAATTGACTGATACTGATGAGATTTGACCCCAATCCTTCAACATGCAGGACATTTGAAAGTTTTGGAAGTCCCTCAATACTGAGTGTTCCACGTCCAACCACTTTGCCTTTAGCTCCTCCTCCATAGGTTACACGTCCTCCATTGAGTGTATGGTAGTTTGATAGGAATTCTTTTGTTCCAGTCATGTGCCTAGAGCATCCACTATCAAAGTACCATGAACCTGAAATGTTAGCATTTAAAGAAGTGTATACTGCTTTACACATAAGTTTGCCTTTGGGAGTCCATATTCTACACTTTTTTTTGGTAAATTCTACCTTTTTCTTGGAAGTGTTTCCTGGGGTGTTATGACTCATCCTGTACAACATTTTGTCAATACTTAGTTTCTCACAGAATGGACGAATATGTCCTCGTGAGAAACAGTAATGAATAATGTATCCCCTTATTCTGGACTCTGGAGTGGTGACTGTGGAGTTTCTGCAATCTTTTCCATTTGAACCCTTCTCTTTTACAAAGACAATTTCCTTCTTCTTTGCTGGCTTGTGTTTCTTCTCTTGTTTTTTGAACACTAGACCTTCATTTTTGTTGTACTTTTCCAGTGACACAATCTCTTCGAGTTTAGTTGTGCCGGTATTCATCCTCTTGATTGCTAGAGTTGCTTTTTGAGTTCATCTTTCACCTTTGCCAGTTCAAGATCTTTCTTGGTGATACCAACCTCTAAATGTGTGATTGTATCTTTGAGGGAAGAATTTTCCTTGTTGGCTGCGTCTAGAGCATGAGTCTTCTTCTCCAAGTCGCTGAACAACTTCTTACACATTTCTTCCTCATTTCTAACTGCTTCTTTACTTGATTCTGCTGCATTCAAGGAAATAGAGTTTAAGCATGTATAATGGTTATCATCTAACTCAGAAATTTCAGTTATTGAAAGTGTTTCAGAAAGTGTTGCAGCATCTAGAGAAACTCCTTGTGATTCTGTTTCAGAAGAATTTTCAGTGTTATATCTGACAGAAAGAGCCTGTTTAGTAGATTGTTGCTCCTCTGTCTGTTCAGATTGCTCTTCCTCCTCATCACTGACAGCACAAATCAGACTCATTCCTCTTCTTCTCAGGGTATTTGCACATTCATTAGCATAATGTCCAAATCCTGAACATGCCCTGCATTTAATATGATCCAAGTTAGGTGGTTCAGAATTTGAACGAATAAATGAAGAATTTTTTGAAGTGTTTTGAGAAGATGTTTGAGGAAATGTTCTTTGTGGAATAGATCTGTTCCGGGGCTGAGTTTGTCAATTTTGTGGAGAGCCTTCTGGAAATAACTGTCTGGGCTTGATTCCACTTCGTCTGTATGCCCTGTTGAATTTCTGGATTTGAAATGCCACATTGTTGAGACATTCCTCTGCATCATCATCATATTCCGTAGCAACTTTTTCCTTTTCTAGTTCTGCCTGGAGTGCATTTGAGATAGCCTTAACTTTCTCCTTTCTTTGATCTTCAAAGTTCATCTCTCTAGATTTTAGGCTACCAATTAGATCGTCCAGACGTAGAGATGATGTGTCTTTGGCCTCCTCAATAGCAGTAACTGTCATGCTGAATCTTTCTAGAAGAGTTCTCAATACCTTATTCACCAGTGTCTCGTTGCTCAAAGGACCACCTAAGGATTGAAATTCATTAGCTAAATCGATCAGTTTCTCATTGTACTGAGAAATTGTTTCAGTTTCTTCCATCCTTAATCTCTCAAATTTGGAAGAAAGTAATCTGAGCTTCGTTCTTCTGACACTGTCTGATCCTTCACAATGTAGCTGAAGAACCTCCCATGCATCCTTCGCAGAAGTGCATACTGAAATTAATTTAAACATTGTTAAATCTACTGAATTAAAGATTGCATTTAGCGCCTTTGAGTTTTGATTGGCATTTGATAGATCGTCTGCTGTCCACCGTAATTTTGGTGTTGGAAACACATCCCCATCCGCATCTGTGATTGTTGGTGCCTTCCATCCAGTAAGAATAGATCTCCAGGCTCTCTCATCAATGGCTTTGATGTACGCCCTCATCTTGACTTTCCAGTAGGTGTAGTTTGTGTCATCAAGTACATGAGGTCGCATAGAAGCAGTCATCTGAGTATGCATCACGAATTCGTTTCTGTAAAGAGAATAGGAACAAACACTTAGTATACGTCAAGTGTTGGCTCTTGATGCCAATTGAAAGAATTTATGGTCCCGAATTCGTTTAATACAGAGATGTTGTCTTAAGTGTTATGACACTTAAATAAACATGCAGCGGAAAAATAACTATATTAAAACAATACTCAGATATTAAAATGTTCACAAGTAAGAACTTGTGAACTTGCCCTTTACAAGACGGAAAAATTATATTAAACAAACAGTATTCCAAGAATACAAATGGAAGATGTACGAAAACTTCTTCCTTATGAATGAATCATTCTCATGATCATTCTTACATTCAAATCTAGAAACAAAAAGAGAAATATTAAAAATTCTAGATTTCAAATAATGTACTCATAAGGAGTACGTACAATAGATCCTAGAAACACACTAAAACTCTCGTAAATAAACTTCAGCACTTGGTTTCTTTTGTTTCTTCGAATCTATATTTCTTGAGTCTCGAGTTTGGTATTTATAGACTTTCCAAGCTTCCACTACTTAGCCCATGATCTGCAAGAAAACCAACCACAAGAGCACTCAAGATAATGGGTTAGTGGGTTAGTTATTAAGTTAGAAAGATACCCATAATTAAACCCACTAAGCACTACTTAGCCCACTAAGTCATAGCACTTAGTCCACTATTACATAACTAAAATTTAGTTTGAAAGTAAGAAAGTTAAAAACACTTATGTGGAAAAATCCACGTGTTTCAATATCGACGTTGCGGAATTACTTGCTATTATTGTTCTTGATCATGGAGCAAAGGTGGTGAGAAGATTAAATGAATTACTTATGGAGTTCTCTACCCCATATGATGTTGAATTTCGTGATATGATTGATATGATGTTTTCAAAATTGCATCAAACGGAGAGTTTGTCGAGCGGAGGGCGTAACAATCGAGAGGTCGATTGAAAGAAAAAAAACTACTCGTAAAGATCCATTTTCTAGAGAGTATCTGATCAATAAGAAATCTTCAAGAGGAACTGTAGACGCATAAAATTAATTAATAGGTTAATTAAATTAGCCAATTAAATTGTGTCTAAATTAAATCATAATTTATCTTGCAAAATAAGTTATGGAGATAATTATCAATTAATTATTGGCCAATAGGATTATTTCTTCTCTTCTAAGTTATAAGAGATAAATATCAATTTAAAGAGAGCCAATCAAATCCCACGTCATCAAGAAGACTTTATGTAGGACTTATATTCTACCACTATAAATAGAGACCCTCTCTACAAAATTCAAGACACAACTCAAGAAGAAGAAAAACGTAGAGAAAGTTCTCTCTACAATATTCAATTCATTCTTCATCAAATTCAAGGCGTTCTTCATCAAATTGAGGGTCGTTCTTCATCAAATTCAAGGCGTTCTTCATTAAATCGAGGGAAATTCAAGGCGTTCTTCATCAAATCGAGGGCATTCTTCAATAAATCAAGATCGAAGGAAGATTGAAGGGCCAAATCCATCAAGAACTCCAAGATATTCAGGTCAAAACCATTTAAAGTTCTGCTTTCGATTCGAGATTCAAGTCGCAAGACCCTCGGAAGACGTTATTCAAATCCAAATCAAATCTGGAGAAGATCAAGTCAACGACCCGACTCCGAATTCAAATTCAAACACATATTGTTCTTGAGAGAAGAATCAGAGGATTAAATTAGAGTTTGTAACCCGCAATATTTTATTTTAATTAAATAAATTATCTTTGTGCAACTGTTCTTGTATGTCTAAAATCGCAGATAAGAATTTGTTGCTATAAATTTTGGCACGCCCAGTGGGACATCTCTACCGCTCATCTCTTCTCTCTCTCGAAGATCCTCAAAGTATTTCTGCTCTACGTTCGCAATGAAGACTGCTACTTCGGATTCATCAAGTGTGCGCTTAGTTACAAGGAGTATGGTTAAGAAGCTGCAAGCATCCTCGAAGACTAGCTCGATTCCCCAAACCGTTCAGAAAGGCTTACCACCTCTTGTCAACACAAGCGCAGACGTGGAAGGTTCAAGACGAGAGATTTTACAGCCTACGCCTCGTGCAACATCAAGCTACTCAGAGGTGGCATCCGTCATGACAACAAACGATACAACCATGGAAGAGCAAATTGCAAGTTTAACAAAGGCAATTGAGGAACTCGCAAAGCATGTTCAACAACGAGATTCTCAAATTTCCAAGTTGATCAACAAGATCGACAAAGTCGATGCTAGTCAAGCCGTGGAGAATCAGATAGAGGCTCAAGACGAGGTCGAGACATCCACAAAGCAACAGCCAGTTGAAAATGAGAAGGCTCCAGCTCAAGAACTTCAAGTTTCTCCCGAAGGGCTAATTCATGTAGATCAAGTGATGACGCTAATCAGTAGAACTATCAAAGACATGTTGGAAGGAAGCTCGAAATCACCATCAACCTATGTCAATCCATACACACAAAGGATTGATGATCTAAAGATGCCAATGGGATACATACCTCCAAAGTTTCAACAGTTTGACGGCAAAGGCAGCCCTTAGCAACATGTGGCACACTTCGTGGAGACTTGCAATGATGCCGGAACGTACGGAGATCACCTCGTCAAGCAGTTCGTCCGATCGCTCAAAGACAATGCGTTTGATTGATACATTGATTTGGGGGCAAACTCCACTGATAGTTGGAAGCACTTAGAGGAAGAATTTCTCAACCGGTTTTACAGCACTCGAAGAACAGTCAGCATGATTGAGCTCACCAATTCCCGCCAATGGAAGAAGGAACCTATCATCGACTACATCAACCGTTGAAATTTGAGTCTTAATTGCAAGGATCGACTGTCCGAGACATCATCTATTGAACTGTGCATCCAAGGAATGCAATGGGGACTCCGATATATCCTTCAAGGAATTCAACCTAAAAGTTTTGAAGAGTTGGCCACTCGAGCACATCATATGGAATTGAGCATAATTGCAAATGGAGTTGAAGAACCTTGAATCCAAAATTCGTACCAGCTCAATGAAGAATATGTCGAAGAAGAACAAGAAGATCATGATAATGGGTGCAAGTCTTTTGAAGAAACAACACCCTATGCAATATGACAAATCAAATGAATACTCCTTGACACGAGTTTAAAAGGTCTACAAGTCCAAGTCAAGTGAAACACTACTTGACACGAGTTTAAAGGGTCTACATGTCCAAATCAAATGAAGCACTCCTTGACACGAGTTTAAAAGGTCTACATGTCCAAATCAAATGAAGTACTCCTTGATACGAGTTTAAAATGTCTACAAGTTCAAATCAAATCAAAGCTCCTTGATACGAGGATAAACTATCCAAATCCAATTAAGGCTCCTTGATACGAGCATAAACTATCTACATATCCAAATTAAGTCAACGCTCCTTGATACGAGCATTAACTATCTACATATCCAAGTCAAATCAAGGCTCCTTGATACGAGCATAAACTATCTACATATCCAAGTCAAATCAAGGCTCCTTGATACGAGCATAAACTATCTATTTATCCAAGTCAAGTCAAGGCTTCTCGATATGAGCATAAACTATCCACATATTCAAATCAAGTCAAGACTCATTGATACAAGTATAAACTATCTATAAATTTGAGTCAAATGCTCATTCGGCATGAGTTTAAACTGCATATATTTCTCCTTGTTCACACGAGTATAAAGTGTGCACGACATCCCTCAAAAGGATATATTTTGAACTACGCTATGACTTGATCCCTTTATATGGTACGTATGCAACTTGGAATCTATCTAAGTTCAGTTATGATTTCAAAATATGTATGTGCTTTGCTAGATCAAGCTGCAATTAAAGTTAAGCAATTATCGAGACTCATTCACTCCTAGACGCATTGTCCGTGAACAAGTCACGAGGGGGCATTTGTAGACGCATAAACTTAATTAATTGGTTAATTAAATTAGCCAATTAAATTGTGTCTAAATTAAATTATAATTTATCTTGCAAAGTAAGTTATAGTCAATTAATTATTGGTCAGTAGGATTATTTCTTCTCTTCCAAGTTATAAGAAATATCAATTTAAAGAGAGCCAATCAAATCGCGCCACGTCATCAAGAAGACTTTATGTAGAACTCTTATTCTACCACTATAAATAGGGACCCTCTCTACACAATTCGAGACACAACTCAAGAAGAAGAAAAACGTAGAGAAAATTCTCTCTACAATATTCAAGTCATTCTTCATCAAATTCAAGGCGTTATTCATCAAATCGAGGGTCGTTCTTCATCAAATTCAAGGCGTTCTTCATTAAACCGAGGGAAATTCAAGGCGTTCTTCATCAAATCGAGGGCATTCTTCAATAAATCAAGATCGAAGGAAGATTGAAGGGCCAAATCCATCAAGAACTCCAAGATCTTCAGGTCAAAACCAGTCAAAGATCTGCGTTCGATCTGAGATTCAAGTCGCAAGACCCTTAGAAGACGTTATTCAAATCCAAATCAAATCCGGAGAAGATCAAGTCAACGACCCGACTCCGAATTCAAATTCAAACACATATTGTTCTTGAGAGAAGAATCAGAGGATTAAATTAGAGTTTGTAACCCGCAATATTTTATTTTAATTAAAT